ATCATCATCATCATCACATACACAAATTCAAACTTTAACACTCATTCTCCTTGTCTCTCCATCTCTCTCTCTCTCTCTCTTTCTCTTTCTCTCCTTTTCACTGTAAGTATTTCAGCATGAATGACAGTTGAAAATCAGCGAGAAATTTTATTCATATTGTCTAATATTTGTTGAATATTACATTCTATATTTCACTTCATTTTGATGTCACTTATAATTATAATTTACTTCGATCACATTAGAGATATTAGATAGATTGTATGAATGAAATGAAATCCTGATGTTTCAAATGTGTCCGACATTTTAGAAAAACAAAAAAAAATACACAACAAAAGCAATGGAAAGAATTATCATGTAAGAATTAGAAATTCTTTGTAGGAGTCTGTCTATATTACTACATAAACCTATTTAAACGATCATAATAGTAGTAGTAGTCGTAATAATAATAATAATAATAATAATCATAATAATAATAAAAGTAGTCAGTGAAACATTTGACACAAAGAATAAAATTTATGATAAAGAGAAAACGGTTAAATTACTTTGGTGAGTTCTCTAAGCTCATATAATTGACATTTTTGAAATTGCTTTACAAACAGGTATTTGTTATATCCTAGTGAAGATTACATTACGATTAATGTCAGAGATCTATTAATAGACTAATATTATTTATATATTCTTATGGTATAACTATTCAATAAATAGATTATGTATATCTATATTCCCCTTTTTATAAGCTTTATTTTGATCTATAATGTATTATTGTACGACTTAGTGTTCTTAAGCTATGTTCAGTTTATTGACTACTGCCTCCCACGTTCACAGCCACTGTTTGGCTTTATTGTGTACAAATGTTATTTCCTATTTCATGGTGTGTTGTGGTCTGTTTGGTTCATATATATAAACCCAGTATGTCTGAAATAAATGGTTCGATTCGATTCGCATAATGGAAGCTGGTATTGATGTTCTGGACTCAAGTGGACGGGGCTAGGCGAACATAGAACTAATAAGGCCGCTCATACCGGTCGAACGTCATTGGTTTGGCACCGTGCTAACATTGTATAACTCGTATTTTGATTGGTGGATAAATCACGTGATAACTAGGCGGCTTTAAAGTCACAACAGTATTGAATACATATATATATTCTAAGTTGACATGAAAATAAACTAGGAGTGAAATATTTAAAAAGAAGTATATATTATGTGTTTATAATGACAACGAACTGGTATGATAATAGAAGAAAAGACCAGTTGAATACTTACTTTCATCAGAGCTTCAGTCATTGAATATAATGTTTCATATTTAAATACCGATCATATATTTTTAGATTTCTTAATTAAAACAACTATTAACAGGAAATAATTGATTAGAACTTTCTAGTAGTTGATTATCAAAATTTCATAGAGAGTGTAAAACATGAGGATCATTAATTGTTACTGTTAGTATGATTACTTTAAATCAGGATTAGAAGTGAATGATTAACATTGACATTGATAATCAGCTTAGAATGTAATAGTTGCATCATTCGTTATAAATGGAAGTTTCATTTTTATTAGAAATGCCAAAGAATAAAACGATCACTTAAGGAGTTGTAATCGTGAACTCAAGCAATTAAATGTTGGATGGAATCCATAACCCGATGACTAAACTGTGTCAGATGTAAAGCATTTATTCATCGAAGATAATAGAAGATGGTAGTTCAGTGTCGTGTATTGGGTGATGTTAGAAATTAACTTACTTACTTACTTACTTAATTATACCTGTTACTCCTCCTGAAGGAGCATAGACCGCTCACCAGCATTCTCCATCCAACTCTGTCCTGGGCAATCCTTTCCAACTCTTTCCAGTTGTTATTCATCCTTTTCATATCTGATTTTATTTCCCGATGTAATGTGTTGGAGAAATTCAATTTTGCATATCATAACATGTCTAGAAAGTAAAATGGAACTTTATTATTTAAAATTAAATTAATGTCATTTTAAATGAAACAATTCTAAATCTTACAATTGTTGTACACGATAAACTAAACTTCTATCTAAATTCACTTGGTATTGTTTACTTGAATCTTCCCATTGTTATTTACGACTGCAATTGATCAGTCTTTTATTGGTATATGTGCGTGGTGTATGGATTGCTTTAATTGCTTTAATTCACATGCATTCTAAGCAAAGATGAAGCAAAGTGGAATCCAGTACGCAAAAGGTCATTTGATAGTAATCGAAAATGAACTTAAGGTCAAGTGCATTTCATCGAGGTCAGTGGGTCAATTCCCTAAGGATGGACTGATATGTATGTGAATGAACATTTAGGCATTTTATTCGGTTGTGCAACTAACTTCTCTCTCTCCCTCTCTCTGTGACTATTTCAGCATGAATGACAGTTCAAAGTTAGCAAGGAATTTCATTCACCGTCTATTTTTGTTTAATGTTTAACGCTAGACATTCCATGCTTAGGAAATTCTAATTTTCTGTAGTTTTTCATTTAGTATCAGTCTGTGATGAAAATTAATTTCACATAAGGCAGTATTTGAAAGTCCCTGACAGTCAATTGTGGATTCTGGCAGTCAATTAATCGTCCTAATGATGCTATGCATCAATTTAGATAAATACATATGTAACTTTGCTAGACGTTCCATGAAATCTATAATTTGAAGACTACACGGTGTTAGGTGTAAAGCAGTTACTCGTCGAAGACAATAGAAGATAGCAATGCAATGTCGAGTATTGAAAAACGTTAGAAATTAACACTGTTGGGCCCAGTGGTCTAAAGGTTAAGCATTTGCGTACGTGATCCTAGGTCCTGGGTTCTATCTTCAGTGTTGGTGTCGTGTATGCCCACTTCTGATAATCCCTATATTAGATTAAAATGGCCGTCCACTGTTTTCAGACTTCCAATGGTGATCTTGTTTATATCGTTTTATGATTTCATTCAGATTCAACAATCTTCACATCCTCATACTGACAAAGACTACACTCGAGTTTGATACCGACTAGAAATCATACAATACCACTCATAAAGGTCTAATGAAATGACTTGGCAGATGAAGTTCAACAATGTCAATAGTAAAATAGTTATCACCGATAATAATTGATAATGGATAGTGATTAGGTTAAGGTTGGAAATCTGAACCATCGATTGCTAACTCAATAGTTTGATTTTTACGCGATCTCGATTGGATACATTGAAGGTTTGTGAATGCATAATGCCCCGGGCATCTCATATTAAAGCCAAGCAATTTGTACGTTTTATTAGTTTTTAAAGAGTATCCAACTGAATTCAATCTATTTTTCGCTTAAGGAAATAAATTGTTGACATCAACTAATATTTTGTTATATAGAACACTTGTTTAGTGAATACTTTCAATTCAGTGAAAAAAAGTTATTGCTCAGAATTTGTTGTCCAAAGAGAATCAGTTCATTTTATTAAGAATAAATAAACCTTTTGTATCGTCCTTGATAATGTAATACTATGTCATCGAATCTCTTTTCTCTCAATTTTAAAAGTGATCAAATCGGCATGTACTAACTTATTGAAAAACTTCAATCTGAAATAACAAGCTTAAGACATTTCTATATGAAGATTCGAGAATTTCAGATATGAGTCACTATGGCATAAATCTTGAAATATATTGTAATTGAGAAAGGAACCTTAATAGATGATCAAATTGTTATGTAGATTTAACTGAATTACGATTACTTAAGTTTGATTTACTTTTTAAATTTTAACTACTATCATCCATAATAGTAGTACAACTGTAAACATGAAAAAGTTATTCTTAGTGCCTTACGTGCTTTTAGCTTTGAATCAAATCTGTAAAATAAGTTCATGCTTTCTGATTAGCATACCACAATTGAAATGATACTACGTTAATTTGTTTTTACATCAATAACTTTCTACTTTGCTTTTATAAGATGTCAATAATGAAGTGATTAATGAACATTCATTTTATAGATATTTCAGGAAATAACATCTTCAATATGAAACATTTTTCATAATATTCGAGAACTTGCATTATGCCAGGGGGAGTTAATTACGTTATTAACAGGGACTTTTTTGACCGTAGAAAGTTCTACCTATATGAACGTATCTAATTCACAGAATGAATTCTGAGAAAATGAGTTAATAAAGCGATGTCTAATTCAATGAACGTTACGTAATTCCCAAGGCGGTAGATAATTTTGCCTGTTGTAATTTATGTCAGTTTGTAATCATGATTTAGCTCTGAAATTTCCCGAACTTTATTTGTCATACGAATGAAGATTTGAAGAAGGTCAGACTTTTAAAATTACTCCACCTAAAATTGTTGTCCATTTTTTTAATTTTAATAATTGAATTCATTACATAATCTAAGCTAGACTACCATTAAAAACCCGGAAGCACTGAACGGCTATTTCATTCTTGTATGGGACTCATCAGGAATGCGCTTCCATGACTCCTCACGTGGGGCCCAGACCTAGGACATTCAGTCTTACACACCAACACTTAACACCTGGAGACCATCTTCACTAGGTCCACGACTTTGCCCTTTCATCCATTACCTGAGGTGGATTACTGTCTCTACTCCACATAGGTTTGACTGCACAGGTTACTGCTTCCGATTAGAACTCCAGGAAGTCCATTTTAAGGCTTGTTACTAGTGAATAGATGATTATTATCAGGATGAGAATTTGTAGAGAATGTAATAATTTTAATAATTGAATTCATGAACCAATCTTAATATATATTCAACATTTCATTGAGTTTATTTTAATATTCCTTCGATATTTACATATCCTTCTGATGGTTAATCTTCTGTTGTATAATTTTCACATTCTCTTGGTTACCATTAGTATAATTACTATACTATATTAGTCAGTTATCCTAAGGAAAAATATGTTAGTCCTATATTCCACTACTAGCCATTAATTATTACGCAATTCATTTTGTCTATTTTTTTGTAACTTCTTTTTTTTGAAAAATGTCATAGTAACAATTTTTTTATTATTATTGATTACTCAAGGTCACAGATAATAATAATGTTCATGATGAAAATTACAATGAAAATAACATGAATTTAAATCAAAATAAATATCAACTTTATGAACAGATTCATGATAATCAATATGAAAGAAATGTAACTATTTATCAGTAAGTTCTTTTATTATTATTTTTCTTTCTATCAATTAATAATGAAATGTTTCAATTGTAAAGATCTAGATATTCATAGACAATAGTCTTGTTTTTTGATTATTTATCTGGATTAAAAACTATTCAGCAATACGTATCCATCAATTTACATAAAACCTATCAAAGATCTTCAGGTCTTGCTCAAAGTACAGTACATTGAAACCATTATGTGCTAATTTATTATTTGAAATGTTTATCACTACTGAATACAAATATATCCACTTTATTCGAAAATAAACTGTGACTACTTAATTTCATTATAAGTACAATAATTATTATCAAATAAATTTTGAATGTTAGAAGAGAATCCGGCGAGACTCTAATTTAGGGACGACCTTTGAACGAATTTTAAGTGATCTTGAGAATATTTGCCAATCAGAAGACAGTTAGTATAAAGTAAAAATATATTAGAAGAAACTAAAGAATTAAAGTGGATATACTTCTTTCACATGATTTAAAAACTTGTTAAGATTTGATAAAGTTTCAGATGTTTTGAAATCATATTGCATACGGTATAAAAACTTATCCATATGGCTCCATAATAGTCGACCTCTGGAGCTGTGATACGGTCTTAAAAACTCCTTCAATCGTGACCACATAGCTTCAATGTTATTGGTATGAACGCTCGTTGTAGGGTCGACGAAATGACGTTTGTGGACTACGACGTGATGGACATATCCAAGACTATGAAGGCATCTATACGCTCTCCAATCATCCGTATATACCGTAGTGCCCGGCAGCACGTGTTCCTGTGTGATTGGTATTCTTGTGGTTGCTTGCCGGTTTCTGACCTACTGGAAATGTCCCTTTCGAGTTGATCTATCGTAAATTCCAAGTACCTGTGAAGTATATTAACGAAAATGCTACTTACCCAATCTTACTTTACACTACGTCCCTTGTTGTATTTTCGCTTTCTCACTACCGTTTCATCTATCTCCACGATACATTCTACTCCTCCGAATGATTGGTGTATACTTGTCGTTTTAGTTGCGCATATGTCACGGCAGTACTCATACCAATGGACTGCTGAAGTTTCAGTAACATCTACAAATGCCGCAGCCAGTGTTACTGGTGTATTTATTACCCAATTCGGAACTATTATCATGATCTGCCTCAATTTCGGTCGCGATCGAGCGAAGAAAGTCCACGTTCTAGCAGACTCTTTCCTCCAATATGAAGAACAACGAAATACAACCTCACCGCGGTGGTCTGCACACTTTACTGCAGTCATTTGATAACCGCAGTCGCACGTACAAGAACTTGTTAGTAGTCCTATATCTTGTAGCCTCTCAATAATAACCTCTTCTCTAAAATCCGCTGTAAACCGATCGTACGTATCATGCGTTAAACTTGTCTCCGTGACCTTGAAATTGCTCAAACGCTTCTGATTGGCTCGTCCTTAAATTAGAGTCTCGCCGAGAATCCTACTAAACAATGATTTCGATTTATTTAATTATTCTCTTTTAAATGCTTGTTTGTTTCTTTTTGTTCAATTGTTTCTATATAGTGATATTCCTTCAAATGTTTCAAACCTACCTGGAAGTTATTTACCTCAATCAGTTATAGATCGGGTAAGTTATTTCAGTTGCTTTCTCTCCATATATTCATTTAGTGTATAAGGTTTTTTTTTTTTTTAAATTGAACGATTAGAAAAAAATATTTTGACCAGATCTGACCACTGTTGAATCTATTTTGTTGTTTAATTAAGGCATAATTATTCACTGATTGATTAAGCAAACGTTTAACTATATGCACTGATAAGTAGTATTGTAGTGAACAAAACACCAGTGGGGACAATCGAATGTATTTGAGCAGAAAATTACAGATCATTTAAAAAAATCTGAGAACCATATAGTAAATCGTTGATTTACAAAATATCAATCCATCATATCAAACTTGACTGCCCCTGTTGCAAACATCAATCCATTGTCTCAGATTTCATTGTTCATGTATTTCCATGTCAACTGCTTTCCACTCCCGTTCTTTCCTCATCGATCTACTGAAATACACTCTATGCCTGACCACCGTCATATACTACTTATGTGGATATAGGTAACCCAAACTATAGTATGTATACGAATCTTTTACAGTTTAGGGAATACATTTACCCATTCCGGATAACCATGATTATTTTATTCGATAAGTTAGATGACTAATAACACTCCAAATATATTGACTATTTTGGAAATTCACTATTCACTATTGTTTACCGTTTGATTAATGACAAATGTCATAATTATATAACCCTTCAGCGACGATTAGATTCTATCGATTTAGTCTTATTTGCTCATGATGACATGCTCTTTTTCTGATATCAGGATATTGAAGGCAGTGCAGTGCTAAATGAATATGACAGTGACCAATACCAATTGATCAATAAATGGTAGGTCAGTAGTATCCTGATTAGTTCAGTGGCATCAACTCAGACTATGAAGTTGAATGAAGTCCGTTCGATTACCACGGGGAGAATCATTCCCCCGATGAGTGTCATCTAGTATGAAACTTAAGTCTAGGATTTCTGGTCAGTGGCTCCAAATCGTTTAATCTTAAGTAATAATGTTTGAGGCAATGATAGTTGAATTTCTTTGTTAAGATTTTATTAAAAACAAATGACTGGTCAGTGTATTTTACTGATGGAACGACTGACTTTCTACAACATACATCTTTTCAGTATGAGAATTTGTGGAGATTACAGTATATTTTAAAGTCGGATTTATGAGCCGGCTAAGTGGTCTAGAGGTTAAGCGCCCAGGCGTGAGACCGAAGGTTCTAAGTCCGAGTCGTGCGTGCGGATTCATGGATCCGTACTTTTGAGTAGTACCATATTTGGGCGGAACGGCAGTCATTGTCTTTCAGGCTTTGGTTGGTGATGTAGCTGAGATCGACTAGTGAATCCAAGTTTGGAGTGGATCTTTACATTTAGTTATCTAATAACTTAACATATGAATCAGATAATTACTCATTGAATAAAGAGTGGTCAGAAAGATAACTTGTTGTTGACTAGACTCAGCTTTCACACGTTCCAAACCTAGGTTATTTTTTGCAGTTTTGATAAGCAACGATAATTATCAGTAGTTTCAATACATATTGTTGCCATGTTCGAGAAATTAAGATGTCACCTTGAACCGGCGATTGAAACGAAAATCAACAATGTAACAACAGAACAAGCTGAACTGTTGCTCTGCCACCCAGATCTTCTAACTAGAAGAAGACTAGATTTAGCCGGATAAATATAAAACTCCACAAGTAACCCGGAAGAACGAATAACAAGCATAAAACTCATGCGTAATATATACAATACAAAAAATGTATTTGAAAAGCATTATCAAATTATGTACCAAAAGAGAAAACTAACCAATGACGTTGAAGGTCCTTCCATATGAAGAACTCAAATTGAAAATAATAATAATAATGAGCGCTTTTGACACGAAAATAGGAAATTTAAATGTCCACAATTAAATTACAAAAATAAGAAGTTTATCAAGTGATTTCTAAGGATCTAGTATCCCAAACAGTTATGTATCTCAAAACCAAGTGCTTGTACATTGTAATACATGAATTAATTAGTACGTCTAGTCAAACCTATATATGACATTGGCTATGCACTTGATTTAAATGACGAGTATTTTGTAAGTAAAATACTAATTTTGACAGAGATTAATAATTCAGCTAGATGCTTCTTAGTATCAATGAGTTTTTTAAGGTAGATGATTTCATTTGAAAGCATTTATAAACATTCTGAAAACATTATTATCATTCTAGACATTGTCATCAGAGTTCCGAAATCAAACTAATTTGAATTTAGATAACGATGACAACAACACGAAGAGTTTTGATAAGCTCCAAACTAAGCGAAAACAACTGTCTACTTCTACATTATTTCCAAGTTAACTCTTTAAGTTACACCGGATAAATAATAGTGAGGTTAGACGTAGGGTATTAGGGAATGATGGTAAATCAGTTGATGATATTGTGAATCTTCATCGACTGAGATGGTTGGTCCACGTATTACATATGCCTGAACATCGATTATCACGACGTTCAATACTGACCAATGTCGGGGAAAATTGGAAGAAAGTTAGGTGCGGTCAAACCAAAACGTGGCATCAGTGCTTGAATTCACTCACTTCTAGTCTGAGCCACGTTGGTAGATGCAGATTACTCGGTTGGATTCCGCGTGACTATCATAACTAATGGTTGCAGACTCTGTGTGACATGGCTCAGAATCGATCAAAATGGCGTCGGTGTATACAGTCTTTGTCTTCCTTTAAACTAAACTAAGAGATTAAAATCGTTTCATATTTTTCTTTCTACGTACTAATTCTTTATTTCTGTATTATTCAGTTCATATGTTATTCGCCTCTAACCTACTATATCGACCAGAATAGAACATTTGTTAAGACGTTAACTGAGGATTCGGAATACCAATTTGAACCCTATTAATCAATATAGATTTATGAAACCGTCATTCAACTTGCCATTTCTACCTAGAACCTTACGTTTAACATCAACATCACGTAATTAGGAATTTAATCAGTAATGTCTTGAAAATATGATGAGATACCTGAGAGTCCTTTTTCTTTCTAGTGGTGTATAGTTGCTTGAAGACACTAACATGTTGTCTGAGCCATATTGGTAGATGCAGACTACTTAGTTGGGGTCCGCATGACTTATGTCTTCCTTTCTACGAACTAATTCTTTCTTCCTGTACTATGTCCTTATATGCAATCCTTCTTTTATATAAAACTACCATTGAATTAACTACTTCTATGAATCCGGTGTTCATCTTGTTTGTGCTAATGAATTATGACAACTTCAACCAATGTATATATATGCCTGATCCTATGTTGTAGCTGACTGATTGACTGATTTTCTCTTAGAAGATATTTCTGTTTTTCAACATTTGTATTTTCAATCTATATCACTTATTATTATTATTATTATTATTATTATTGCTAATCAACATTCTAATTTATATTATTCTTTCTTATATTCTAAACTAGAATGAATATGTTAATATTCCTCAATCAAAATATAATAATGATCAAATTTCATCTAATATTAATCAATTATCATTGACAACAAATTCATTTCCTACTTGTATGTTACTTCCATCATCTATATCATCATTAAATGATTATTTATTATCAATCCCTCATTCATCATCATCATCATCATCATCATCATCATCATTATTATTATCATCAACTATGCTGAATAAAACAGATATTAGTATTATAACTAATATTAATAATAATGATTTATTAATGGATACATCATTTTTATCAACAGTACCTGAAGAAGATATTGATATAGGAGATTTAACTAGTTCTAATAAAACAACACCACAACAAAGTCCATGTAAAAAAGTTTATTTTATGAAACAAATCAATCATAATTTATTGGAATCAATTCAAAATCATAATCATAATCATTATCATAATCATAGTACTTTTAATGATATACATGATATTATCGATTATAGTTCATCAAAATCTTTATCACCAGTCACTATGTAAGTGATGTATATTTATAGATTTTTTAGAAAATATTTATATAGATATATAAATTCTCTTTTCAATTTCTACAATGTATATTCTATTCAAATTAATCATCAGAAAAATGATCAAATTAACGGCAATGTATATCGTGTAAAACATGTGAATTTAGGAATACAAACGTTAAAGAAGAAATTCCTGTTCATGTGTCTACAATTCAAAGGGGATATGATTAGTGAAATATTAATTTAGAGATTATGTAGGATAATACAAAAAAAATTTTTTAACGCTGAAGAACTGTGATTAATGTTTTCCACGTGCTCAATGGTGATACCGAGGCTAAAAGATGAATTGCTTAGAATGACCAGTTTATTTTTTATTTATCAGTTCGACTGCTCCTGTGGAGCGTGTTATATTGGTTGAAGTTCTAGGAATTTGTATTTTCATGCTCGTGAACACTTCCCAGCGTAGTTAAACAAAGGTTTGATGTAGAAAGTGAACAGTTCGATATTGGACCATTTAGTACAAACTGGTCATAGTGCTAGTATAAACCAGTCTTTTTCAATAATTTTTTGCCAAAGCTTGTCAAACGGCTGAAGCAGTAGCCATCTAGATGAAGAAACCGGAGCTATGCGTACAGAAGAAATATCTTCAACCACTCCTCCTCCCCTGGCCAACATCAAGGCCAATTACTCAATAGTAATCTTAGCTATTGAATGACCTAATTTGACAACGACCTTTCGTAGTCAAATGTAATTGTCTCTGTTATCTTTATTCACAAATCTTTGTATTATTATTATTATTATTATTATTATTACTATTGGTTAAACATCATTATTAATCTCCCCTATACATGATTCATTCCCTTCGCATTTATCCCTCCTTATTACGTATAACTAATTTTTCACACAATATAGTCTTTCACTAAACATTTGGTTGAATTGCAATTGCACTATTACTTATCTCTCTCACTCTCTCTCTGATCCATATTTATTTTGATCGTGGATCTTAAATTTCACTTAACACATGAGCAGATTCATGTTAACATTCTATCTGAGTCATATCAACATTAACAACTTTCAGTTTAGGGGTTGTGGAGATTGTTAAGTTTCAGCTTGAAATCATGAACCGATTGGTGTTAGACCATCAGTGAAAACCTGGAAGCACTGGAAGGTCGTTTCGTTTTATTGTGGGACTCCTCAGCAGTGCGCAACTTCGTGAATTGGTTGAGGTTAGACATTAACACCATTAGATTCCGAATCATTAGTCTAGAGGTTAAGCGTTCGAGTGCAAGACTGAAGGCCCTGGGCCCGAATCCCTCTCGTGGAATCGTGGATGCGCACTCCTAAGGAGTCCTATAATAGGATGAAATGGCCATCCAGTGCTTCCAGGTTTTCAATGATGGTCTAACATCAATCGGTTCATGATCTCAATCATTAACAATTTTATTGTATTTTGTTTAATAATCCTAAATTCACATACTTTAAACGATGTACTTTTCCCTTAGCCATTTTTCCGATTAATAATTTGGATATATGCATTGTAGAACCTGAAGAGAATTCACCGGAAAGAATATTCTTCGTTCAAATATTAGTCTTTTAATATGATGGGGATTTTTAAACGATATATATTTGTGCTATATATCGATAATGAATACATTATTCAATGACATAATGCTCGGTTAAACTAAAAAAATCTTGACAGATCCTTGTCTTTTTATCCAATTAACATGTGAATATTCAGAAAGTACTGATTGAAAGATGTTTTTCCACTAGCGACAGACTGCCATTTATCTTTACCTATGAACAGTTCAAACTATATATCTTTATAAGATACATTTACTTATTACGTAACATTAGGTCGATTGACAGACAGTCTCAGAGTCCAAGAGTTGTCTAAAATCTGTCCTATTATTACAAAATATAAGTAAATTGATTGTAAAACCTGAATTGCTGAAGCATCTGTGCTATCCAACACGTGTATATTCGTAGAAAAGAAAATCATGTCTCAAATAATTACAGAAAAAGTAATTACAACACATAATATCGTAAATAACGACTGGTAGCTGTGTTATAAGTCATTACAGATTATCGACAAACAAACAGCTACTAAGAGACCGAAAATGTGGGCCTTTCGCAAATGGAAAGCAGGTTTCAGAAGTACACAAAACTTGAAAGCAATCGTTACAACTATTTAAACAATACAATTATAACAATAAACAAAGTGAACGTCATTATGAAAATAAATAAGAGTATTACAAGACATCAACCACACACTATGTTCAAAAGTTGTTAGAAACGAAACTGGTTACTGAATCTATACAAGTAGTATAAGTTAATATGCTAAAACACTTGAACTCTAAGATAGAGCGTAAACGGACTTGACACTACATTTAATTCATGAATCCAATCGCAATTATTTTATCATTTAATCAAAGTAAAGACACAGAGGTTAATCTGCCGAAGAACGTGAATGTCACAGTAATTAGGTTTGTATCCGAATAATAGGATTTTATTATTACCAGTAAATGAATTGGGTCGTTAACTAAATTCAATAATCTATATACTTTTATTATTTCGGTTATATCTTCACTGAGATTTTAAAATTTATGATCTCTTTTTTTTAAAAAAATTTCATTCTACAGACTACACACTGCACAATCACTTAATAATAAAGATCCTGAATTGTACAGTAATTCATCTAGTCAAATATGCTCTGATGAAAATGTTGAATTACAACCATTATCACCATCATCATCATCATCACCACCACCGCCACCAGTATTATCGAAACTATCTCTAAATTCTCCATCTCAGTCTCAAGAAATTTCAGATAGTTATTGTGCTCGTCCTAATAGAAAACAAAAACGTTATCGAAATTCCAAAGCACCAGCACCCCCTACACCAACAACAATAATGACAACTGTAACAAATTCACCTTCTACTATTTCATCACCTCTTAGTTCGTCAATAAATCAATCAATGATAGAACCACCACCTCCACCCCGTCGATCAATGCAAAATAATCGTGATACACCTCATACTAGTGATTCAGATATAGACGACAGAGATTATAAGAATTTAATGAAATCTCGACAAATTCACCAAGTTTCAGATAAATCATCATCAAGTCCGTAAGTGTTAGTAACTAAGCAAAACGATACTATTTGTGTTCTGTAGAAGAAGAAACAATCAATTATTTGATTTCTTATAATAATATCATTGAACTTATACTTTGAATATCTGGTACCTGGTACAACTTGATTCGAAGATTTCCGCCAGTATTATATTGACAGACGCCATGATAATGTTGAGTTAATGTAAACAAGAAGTATAAAATAAAGATTATTTTCGACACATATTGATTTGTGTAGTAGATTAGTCAAAAGCTATGGTATAATGGACTGATACATCATTTTAGTATGGTATTCATCACCAGTGTAAAGTTATAACTGCACTAAGAATCGAACTCGAAGGACTTTGCGTCTGGAAGAAGTGGGTTACATTTAAATGAATAGGTTGAGATCTAATGTTCAACACATTCAATCTTGATCGGTCCGTGAAATGACGATGATGATCGTATAATTCATGTCATGTTTACTGATGTCATTCATAACACTGCTGAAGTAAATAATTCGGTGTAGGTGTATGATTGTCAGTTACTCTTTCCCAACCCCACAAAATGTATTTCCAGTCTACAATACATACATTTGGCACTGATTTATTAATTTGATTATATATTGATATATTACTTACTAATTAAAGCCTGTTACTTTAAATGGAGCATAGACCGCTAAACAGCATTCTCCAACTCACTCTGTCCTGAGCCTTTTTTTCTACTTCTATCCAATTTTTGTTCATTTTTCTCATATCTGTCTCCATTTCTCGGCTTAATGTGATCATTGGTCTTCTTCTTCTCCTTTGGCCTTGATGGTTCCATATGAAGGCTTATCTTGTGACGCAGTTCAGTGCTTTCCTCAATGTATATCCTATCCACTTCCAGCACTTCATCCTGATTTCCTCCTCCAATGGAATCTGGTTTGTTCTCTCCCACAGTAGTTTGTTTCTAATAGTGTCTGTCCAACGGATCCGAAGTATTTTACGCAGGCAACTGTTAACAAACACTTGTATTTTCTGGATGATGGATTTTGTAGTTCTCCAGGTTTTACCCCCTCCCGATACAGTGGAATTGTCTTGACATTTGTATTGAAAATTATAACATTGGTTTTTGTTGACGGACAGTTGTTTTGAGTTGCAGATATGCTGTTCTTGCTTTGTCGATCTACGCATTTATATCTGCATCACATCCACTGTGCAGTTTCCAGGCTAATGAGGTGTATTTGCTTCTAAATTTATGTTTTATTTTTTGGATGATTTTGTCCCTTGAATCTCCGATGAATGTTTCTTACATAAAAAGATTTTAAATAAATTTATGGTGTCATTCTAGTTATTGAAAAGAACATTTTAGATCAACTTCTATCAAGAAAACTAATCATCACTTCGATTACCTCCATAAGAGGCTAATTAATAACAAAAATTTGATAGATGCAAACAAAATTTGTATAAATAATACAAAATTCTTGTATGAAATGTAGAATGAGATCTTGTTACGAGTATGTTCCACATGCAAAGTAAATTGTTAGACGGTGCACTTCTTACTTATATTTTATTTAGTAGTATTATGATGATTAATAAAATTTGTAGATCAGTTAGATGATTTAGCTGAAACAGTATTTGCTGAAATGAGTCGTTAAAAAAAACAGTGAAGATTTCAGATTGTCTTTTCAGACAACACATAATATCCAATAGAACTTATTCCAGAAAGACAATTTAAACTTTAACATTCAACTAGTTATCTCAGTGAATACAACTTCATTGAAAACCGTATTACACAAGCAAGCGGCTATCAGGACTCAGTAGCTAAGTAGATAATGTGATAGTGTTTGAAGTCAACAGTACTGGATTCAAGTCCCAGAATGAACATCAAACCTCAGATGCAGTTGCACTCAGCTGAATAGTCCTGAATAGGACGAAACGCTCATCCTGGATTCCACTACTAATCACTATCCATTAATAACAGTTTTAAATCATATAAGATTAGAAACATTTTTAAATTCAATAATAAATAAATTGAATTGCATATTATTTCATTTTAGTAATTCCAAGAATAAAGTAAAAGAAGGAGAAGAAGAAGAAGTAAAAGATGATAATTCAAATTATGCTTCCAGATTGAATCATTCATGTCAGCATACAAGACAACAACATACAATAATCAATAATGATAAATATCATCCAAATAATTTGAATCAATTAATTACATCCATAGAAACAACCATAGATACTGTGAATGTTGAACAAAATCCAAATATCAATTGTATATGTTCATATTATAATGATATAAAACAGAATAATCAATTCATTCAATCAGATTTAAATAAATTAATCATACGTAAACCAACTCCACCGAAACGATCACCTAAAACTATTTTAACCAGGTAAAATTTCAATAACATATTGTATTTATGATTCTTTATTTCATAATGTATTTATTATTGAACCGCGTGGTGGCTACTCTAAATTCTATCGATTGACTAAATGCAGATATCCCAGTACAATCCCAATACTGTTCCTCAATCTCCAATATATCAGAACACGAACCATTAGATGAAAATTGATCATGGGATCAGGAGAAGAATAAGAAGAAGAATGATCATTTACAGACAAATGCATATTTATACAGTTAGGACTACAATGAATATTGACCAACAGGAAAATGACACCATTTCACGTTCAAAGATAGAATTAGAGTTAACAGGATAATTTTTAGGATATTTTTCTGAATATCCCAATAGTATTATAATGAACTACAACACAAGTGAGGATAATCGAATGTATTTGAATACTGAACATGAAATCTGAGAACTATACAGTATATAGTTAATTTGCAAATAATATTAATCCGTTGTATCAAACTTGATTGTTTCTTTTGCAAATCTCACTTCATCGTTTCAGATTTCAATATTCATGTATTTTCATATGAATTACTTCCTGTTCTTGTTGTTTCCTTCTAAATTCTATACTTGAACATCATTATATACTACTTATGTGAATATAAGTAGTTCACACCACAGTATTATAGAACATTTGTTTCTATCTTTATTTTAATACCGTATTGAGCTATCGTGTTATTAATCTGATAAGTTTTATAAAGTATTACTGATAGACTGACAGACTTTAAATGAATTGAGAATATCCATAATATTTGGAACTAAATGAATACATATTACTTGATAGAGTTTAATGTACTATTTATAAACAAAGGCACCTAGATCTGTAAATACTGATAATAAGTTTGGTAGAAATTAGAAATCAGTTTTACAGTTGATCAAAACTAGATCATCATTGTAAACCTGGAAGTAATGGACGGTCGTTTCGTCCTAGTTTGAGACTCCTTAGAAGTGCGTAACTACGATCACTCACGCGGGACTCGAGCTCAGAACGGATGAATTAAACTGTTGGGAATACTACAATCTCCACAAATCTCATTACTTTTGTTTTCCCAAGAAGCATCAACAGGTCAATATGTGACTTTAGTCATTAATTCCACCACGTTACATCAACAAAAGACTGAACATTTTTAGTACAAAATATGAATAAACAACTAAAATTTAAGTTCATTCGATAGAAATAATGATTAAGTATAACTATGGCATTATAATTATCCTCATAGCTGGGTCAGGATTACTTGTTTTACGTCTGGAGTAGACTACGAAAATCAATATAGGAAGGATAAAGTACAAAATATCAGAAAAATAAGGTAGTTTAGACGATTAAATAAACTTATACGGGCCAGTTTATTTAATCGTTAAGGATCTGATTTCTAATGTCGCCTTTTATTAATCCATACGTGGTGGTAATTCCTAAACCATGTCAATGAAACCTTAACACCAAAATGATACATATAATATATATATATATATAATACATTGAAATAAAAGCTGATCATATAATCAGTGATATATTCGTTTAATGACGTTATGAGTTAGATCTACTAAACGTAAAATGGGGTATAGCATGATTTCCTGCATTTTATTCATATAAATATTACCTAGGATACATTTTCTTTGTCCTTGACTACGTTCGAAGTCATGATAGTAGCTAAGGAATTGATTCTTAAAGTCAGTCATTTTGTTGCATAATAATGGATGAAAAATATTTTTGGTATTTATTAAAGTGTAAAAACCATTGGCAGGATAATGGTATACTATGAAGCGCTGAAAATTTGGTTAACGTCTTAAGCTACTGAATATTTGTAAGTAGTGTACAAAAACACATAAAAATCAAAGATATATATGGAACGAAGATTAGATAGTCCAGTTAAGATTTAGTAATTTATTTTTTTTTATTTGTATTCTCTCAATATGAAGTTATCACTATTGCAATCCAAATCATAATACTTTTTACATAAATTTCTTCTTAAAAGCCTTAATACATCTCCTAAATCAGAAGAAGGTGAAAATCATAATGTCCAAATGAACTCAGTTCAAAGTTCCAATCAATTAACAAATGTTATGGAACCCATAAACGGTGAATCCGGAGTAATCTGTGACCATAAAATTGATGATATCTGTTACGGTGAAGATTCCAAGGAACAAACACACGCTACTATGACTACTACCAGAAATGGTAGTCATAGTAGTCATGAAGGAAGTGAACGAAATGAAGAGAAGCAATATCCTATGTATGATAACAATAATAATAGTAATGATAAAAAACAATCCGATTTAATTATACCAGATAACATTGATCAAAATAATGAGGCGATTGAGTGTTGTGTATGCAATTCATTGCATCAAATAGATGCTGAAGCTGAAATTCTTCATATGACTGAATTATTATCGAAACGTCGTGAATCTGAAGCTAGACGTCAATTATTATTAGCTGAAATGGAGGCTGGAATAGAACGAGATGATCGTTTAAGAGTCGCTGCAAATGCTATGGCATTGGCGGTGACGCCAATGACAAGTGATATTACATGTAATATGGATAAATCAGGATTATGTAATGTATCAAATTGTATACACTATAATTATTGTTTACGTCATCATCATCATCATCATGATCATCAAGAACAAATTCATTCTAATAAAGTTTATGATGTACAACAGCATATTGCAGGAAATCCACCACATTTACATTCTATAGATCACAGAAATATGGATAATGAATTGGTACCACCTATAACATGTTGTTGTACATCGGATTGTATCAGAGAAGAAGATATATTGATTACATTACGAAAATGTAAGACATATGGTATTTTCAATCTCTTTGGAAATCAAGATATTTATATTCAACTTTTTCCTGCTTAATATGTGACTATTGGTATTTATTAGAGTTAAATAATATTTAACGGAATAACGCAGATTTTATTTTAATGCACAGGATAGTTTTCCTCTTACAAGGACACATTGAGAGATGTTTTGTTCGATGCTAGCGAAAACTTACCCCTCATAGCTAAGTATATTCGGTAACTCTCTGTATTCAATCATAGTTGCTTCGAAGGATTTTTGAGTCCTAATGTCAATACTATTTTAGTAATACGGAGGTTCGAATATATTTGTTCGACCTCAATGGTGATAACTTGGTCAATGTCACTATACAGAAACATGGGGTCATCCCAAAAGCTTTCAAATTATGCGTCAATTGACGATACTAAAATGAGGTGAAAGAATGAAGAATTAGTAAGTTAATGATGTAGTACTGTGTTATGAAAACATGCTGCATAGAACTGACATCTACTGGTTCATAACGACTTCTTGGTTAACATCCCAGAGATGATACAACTTGATGATTTTGCTCATTATCATACATATCTCAGAAAGGAATCAATAACAACTTTCCAGTAATTTCTTTTTTTACATTCCTCATAAAAGTGAATAGAACTCTTTTAACCATTAAACATTAATAACTGGCCTGTATTTCATATCACATGCTATCCCTAATTTTTGATTGTGATCATGAATCGACTGATATTATACCACCGTTGGAAACCTGGAAGCACTGGACGGCCGTTTCGTCATAGTATGGGATTCCTCAGCAGTGCGCATCCACGATCCTGCTCGCGGGATTCTTTGTTGTTTTTTTTTGAAAAATTATAATCCCATTCCTGTCTCTTATTACTTTGTTAATGTAATCTCTTGATTAGATATGGTTCACCAATGGGTATGAGGTTATAATGTCGGTATATAAATTAAAACAGGGATTTATTACCGTCTAATTTCAAATATAACTAAATAAATGTCCTGTAATCGACAATCTACCTATAGAATCCAAATTAAGCTTTGAACTGAAGAATAACTGTCTAGATAGTTTAGATACGCGCTATTGCCTAGTTGAAACTAAAATAAGGTGATTGAGTCAATGACGGTTCATTATCAATATAAAGATACATGATTACTTAAACAAATATTACCACATCGTTGTTCATCCAATAATTGTTTAAGCAGTAATCAAATCATTCGCAACAAACAAATGTTATTCTATCCTTTCTGGATAGTTCACGTATAGATTCGTTCGAAAGATAATATTTAATTGCTTTACAACACAGAATGTTACTAATTTCGGAAGTGTGCTTCAATTCACAATTTAAAAAAATGCACAATTCTAATCAATGCTAGCAACACAATCAAAGGAGGAACAAATCAATATGGCTGACATCAAGAATAACTATCAACTAAAACAACAATAATACAGTTCAAGAAGAAACATAGAAACTCAGTGAAGATGTAATAAAAATAAAACTTATAATAAAATATAAATATTACCATCTCAAATGGAATCAAAAAGATTAACAAAATGTACAAATGAAGGAATCAATAGGAATAAATTAAAAGTGTATACATGGAGGGATTTTGACACACATATACACACACAAAACCTTCAAAATAGATCTTACACTATGTTAGGTTTGAAGTTATCACGAGTTCACTTAATCTGCGAACAAGAACAAAGACTCGGTTACTGAAGACCAATTAGCTAGATATTCTGATGCGTCCCAACCCCGATAATTAGAGGAAGAAGTCTAAGCTTGGGATGGAGAAGTATTTTCTGCAAACAGCCAGAAACGAGTGATCACAACAAACACAAATCAAAACTTATATATACAGTACAAAACAGTCCTTGAGGAGAGTTACCAATTAGCATACTAAAAGACGCAACGGACCGATAGCATTTAAGATATTTCCCAAGTGGGAAATATGACATGAAGTTGACAAGAGCGCTTTTGGCGCAAAAACAAAGAAATTCAAATTATCTAAATGAAACACAAAATTAGGTCCTTTTCCAAGTGAGTTCTAGGGATCTAACGTCCTTAACACACTAACATTATTGTTTTTTTCCAGACTTAAATCATTTCAAATTCACCCTTAAAATAAGGTTATCTTGTACACTCTTGAATAACTATTCACTTCAGTTTAATCAGGACCCGGTCTTTTATAACAGTTTTATCTTAATATATGAAAATACAGATCAAATAACTGATACTAGATGATACAAACACGCTTTACTGATGAATGATAACTAGAAAGAAATCTAAGTAACAATCTTTTTATGAATTTTTCTCTATTAGTTAACGCTCAAATAAGCGTCTTGAATTTGTATAAACATACTTTTTTCATTAATTTTAGTTTAGTAATTTTATAAATTCTACCACAGATCGACCTTATTTAAACAACCATGAGGAACTATGAAGTACGGAACATCTGTTTCTTTATAGTATGAAACTCTTTAACAGTGTACATTCACTATTATAACAAAAACGATCGCACCCGGAATCAACTCTGACCAGTGACCCCCCCACTATATTTCTAACTTCAGTCAATTCAGAATAATGAGTGACCATTAATCATTGTCATCAAAAGGTAGTTGTAGCACGAAACCGGGTTCCAGGGTTTCCTGTCGACTACCAACCACCATCTAATCTCAACATAGTGCACACAGTGTCGAGTCACCTAGACTGGTGGCCACATTGCAACTTGGTTGGTAGCATTCGATCTGCACTGAAAAGGACTAGACATGCATGACATTGATCACAACCCAGTGATCAATCGATTGTGATTACATCTCAGTCCTACAGGAGATCGGTCGCGGCCTGGATAGCTCAGTGGTAACGTCTCTGACTGTGAGGCTGGGTGACACGGGGCCGAATCCTTGAGGGAGCACTCGTTCCCTCAAGATTACAGGTACACCTTGCTGACGAAGGCCAAGTAGCACGAAACCAGGGTCCAGGGTTTCCTGTCAACTACCTCCAACCACCATCTAAAAGGTGTTTGTCTCAAGCTAGATAATAATTGGTCTTCATTAATCATGACTTCTGATCAAAACTTAAGGGAATGATCTCTCGAAATTAGTTTCCAACAAACGTATAATTCTTTTTAATAGAATGAAATGAATGATTTTAAACAGTATTCTTGATTATCAATAATCTCTTATAATTAATTGTTTTGTTATTCTTTCTATTTTCCCTACACCATTGATTATCCCACATCCAGCTTCATTTGGTTTAGGTTTTAGTTTAACAACAAAACTTATTCATCCTAAATCAACATCAAATTCATCAATTAATGAATCATTATTTGCTGTATATGTGAAAAATATTTTACCTGATGGTTCAGCTATAAAAGATGGACAATTACGTGTTGGTGATCGACTTATACAAGTAAATCATTTTATTTTAATCATTATCATTTACTTGTTTGATAAAATTAAAATAACAATAAAGATTTTATCAGCAAAGATGAATAGTGGTTAGTAGTGGAATTTAGGACGAGTGTTTCTCTGTATTTGGAACTCGTCAGTTGGATGTATCTGAATCTTAGAGTTAACGTTCACTTGAGGACTCGAAGCTAATACCATTCTCAATGGGAAGGTACAAGCAAATTACACCAAGTGAATTTAAACTTCACCCCATTACACAAACAGGTAGATATCAGGACTCAGTAGCTAAGTGGATAACATGATTGAGTTTGAAGCGAACGGTACTGGGTTCGAGTCCAAAAGTGAACATCAACTCTCAGATTCAGGTAAATCTAACTGACGAGTACCAAATAGGATGAAGTGGCGCGCATCCTGGATTCTACAGGTAGCCAATATCCATCTTTGCTTATAAAGCTTGTGACTTAAGGCAATATCAAGGCAATCCACACAGGATGCACATATACCAACAAGTGACTTATCAATTGCAGTCCTAAATAACAATGGGAAGATACAAGTAAACAACACCAAGTGAACAACAAAGATTGTTTAGAAAAATCAGATTGAAAACACTTGAATTAACCTATAAGACTATGATTGTTGTTTATAATCAGTTCAAATCTGCTTAAATTCTCTGATTTATAAAGAAACATACTAAATATTCCTATTGAAATATTAGACAGATAGTGTTTATTGTAAACCAAATTCATATAAAGTTAATATACACACTTTTCGAGATTTGTGCGATTACAGTGTAAGAGGAACTTAATCAGATGTTTGATCCACAGAGGCGAAATTGTTTTTATTGATAATCACATTGAACAAGACCTAAAACGTATTCATGATACACTACGTAAGCACGGTTACCCATTAAATTTTCCAACGAAACATATGTCTCGAGCTAAACTGAGTGTGAAGCTATCGACGATACCAAAAAAGCCTATATTCTTGAAATTACAATTCGAAGTTAATAAAGCCACTGGAATAGTAACATGATGTATATAAATGCTTTATAATGTACATTCAATGCAGTAAGATTATGTTTTACTTTCTTTAGTTGGCCAGTAGTCAATTCACTGAATAAAGATAAATTGTCTTGTTCTTCTGCCTCTAAGTGTATTCACCATTTCTGCTTCTCATGCGAAATCCGTTATATGGGGCGTACAACCAGACAAATACGTCACCGTATTGTCGAATATCACTCCACCTCGTTGACTAACGAAAGTAATCAGAAGCTCTATCTTAGCACATCCAGTCGAAGTCATAGTAATACATATAAAGAACTAACCTCTGTATATAAAAAAAATTTATACAGTTTTTGAATCGACTCTGGCCTTCTAATATTCACTGCTCCCGGCCACATAAGAATGTGATTATTCAAGACGATATACTAATGTCGATTCAGTTAGCTTGATGACCTGAATGCTCTCTTTCTATATATATATATATATATATATATATATATATATATATATATATATATATATATATATATATATATATATATATATATATATATGGTCTATCCATAGTAAATACATCTCAGTCCCAGAGTAGGTCAATCTCTGGCACAATAGTCCAGTAGTAACATCTCTGTGTAGCTGGGTGACAAAAAATAAAATCTCCCAGAATGCACCGGTTCTGACGAGATTTTGCATAAACCTTGCACACGACTGACAAAAAACAAAAAAAATTAAGTCCAGCTTTTTCTGTTGAAAAGCTTCAACCATTATCCTACGTCTGAAATTTCATCATCATTTTCTTCCCATCAAAATAAACATTTTTCTACTGAGCTTTATCTTTTGTCATGGCTACATTTCATAGATTGTTGTTATTAATTTAAACACCCATATGGTAGATTTTCTTACTTACTTATTTAAGCCTGTTACTTCAAATGGAGCATAGACCGCTAAACAGCATTCTCCAACTCACTCTGCCCTGAGCCTTTTTTTCTACTTCTATCCAATTTTTGTTCATTTTTCTCATATCTGTCTCCATTTCTCGGCTTAATGTGATCATTGGTCTTCTTCTTCTCCTTTGGCCTTGATGGTTCCATATGAAGGCTTATCTTGTGACGCAGTTCAGTGCTTTCCTCAATGTATATCCTATCCACTTCCAGCACTTCATCCTGATTTCCTCCTCCAATGGAATCTGGTTTGTTCTCTCCCACAGTAGTTTGTTTCTAATAGTGTCTGGCCAACGGATCCGAAGTATTTTGCGTAGACAACTTTTAACAAACACTTGTATTTTCTGGATGATGGATTTTGTAGTTCTCCAGGTTTTACCCCCTCCCGATACAGTGGAATTGTCTTGACATTTGTATTGAAAATTCTGACCTTGGTTTTTGTTGACAGACAGTTGTTTTGAGTTGCAGACATTCTTCAATTGTAGATATACTGCTTTTGCGATGATAGATTATCAATGAGACAAAAATCCATTTATCTATTTATACATATGAGATTGTAAATGAGTTTAATGCAGAAAATCACTTAAAACTAGTATCACTTCATTGATATATGTAATATAATATAAAAACGGATTATTTCTATTTTAATCGCATGAATAAATTTTTGATGAATCTTTAGGTGTCTTTCTGTGTGTCTTAACTATGATCCAATTTTTCATGGATTTTTAAGTTATGTATTATTATTATTATTATCATCTAAATAATAATTGTCCATTTACCTTATTTCTATCTAATATAATTACATATATAAGCATCAAGTTTACTTTAGTAGTTGCATTCATGAGCCAATTGAAGCTAGACTATCATAGAAAACTTGGAAGTATTGGACGGCTGTTTCGTTCTATTATGGGACTCTTCAGTGGTCTAGAGCTTAAACGTTCGTGTGCGAGACTGATACGTTTTGGGTTCGAATCTTGCACTACTGAGGAGTACCGTACTAGGACGAAACAGCCGTCTAGTGTTTCCACATTTTCTGTGGTAGTCTAGCTTCAATTGACTCATGAATTCAACTATTTAATTACTACAATCTCCACAAAACCCTTATCTGAATATAATTTACTGCGAATAATATAATTTGTTTTATTGTTTTGCTCTCGGATTTAATGTGGAGCTTTCAATGTTATTCTAAACAACATTGTGTTCAAGTTAGCCTCCCATTTATTTCATAAGTGTTATTTTAATTCGTTTTGATAAGTTTGTACTTGACTGTTTTTTTAAGCTTTTGTTATCTTCATTTGTTGTTGTATTCAGATTGAGTTTATTTGACAGTTAGCCTCCAGAATTATGACTGATCGATGCTTTGAGTATGGGTTTAAAATCTGAGTTTATAAAGATCTATCTGTTGATTGTTAATTAATCTGAATTTCATGAGTCTAGAAATTCTCTGACATTTTTAAACTATCTCTAATACAGAATTTCTTCAATTTAATTCATGTGCATACTTGTCTACGTCTATCAGTATTAGTCTTACTTTTAATTTATCTTTATTTCTATGAAGATAAACGAAGCATCCACTTGATCCGTTGCAAAATTCATTGTCATTAGTGTAATTACTTTTATGGATTATCATTCATTTGTATTCCTTGTCTGTTATATTGTTCTGTCTGCAGTAGAATTGAATAAACTTGCTGTGTTGGCTTGTCACAGACTTTAAATCCAAAATGGCTTTAAAATGTCATCAGTGAGGGTGAAGTGAGGGTTGGTTGGTTATTCTGATGAAAAATGAACTAAAAATAAGGTGATGTAGAAGATTTGGATAATTTTGATAAAGTTCTATTCTCTGAGCTAGATAGTTTGATCATAGAACTTTCATCAGCATAAATAAATAATGAATACTTTACAACTAGACTATCTAGCTCAGTGAATGAAAATGATTTTCTTCCATTCTTTTCATTAATTTTATTTATTTATTTATTTAATTTTAACACTAATTCTTTTCTATTCTTTTCTTTTCTTTTCTTTTCTTTTCTTTTCTCTAGATTGATAATTTAAATGTAATTGATAAATCACAAGCTCAAATTGTTGCTATCTTACGAATTAAACCAGTTGGTAGTATAGTGAATTTATTAGTACGTCGTCAAGTACATTTATGTCAATTAAATACAATTGATTGTTTAACATGTAATTATTTATTAAATAAACAAATAAATCCAATAATAAATAATTTAAAATATTGTAATTTATTATTACCATATGAGAAATTATCAACAAATTATAATTTATTTGATATACGTAAATGTTCATCACCACCATTACAAATGACATTCTATTATGATGAATTAACCAATTCAGAACGTGTTTTTCATTCAAATTATCCAGTAAGTTAAATATTCGTTTTGTATGTGTGTGTTATTTTATTTTATTTTATTTTTTTTTGGTTTTAAGTGTTTAGCATTCAAAACTCACATGTACAGCCACTGAGAAGTTCCACAATTGGATGAAACGGCCGTCCAGTGATTCCAAGTTTTTCATAGTGATTTAGTTTCGATTGAATTATAATCTCAACGAATAAAATTATTATTATTTTTTGTTTAAATATAGTGTAGTAAACAATTTTAAATACAGTAAACATGAACAAGCATTGTCCTTTGAATTATCCAGTATTTTGATTCAGATCATGAAACGACTGATGTTACACCACTATGGAAAGTCTGGAAGGATTGGACGGCCTTTTCGTTCTATTGTGGAACTTCTCAGCAGTGCGCATCCACGATTCTGCTTGCGAGATTCGAACCAAGGGCCTTCAGACTTGCGCTTGAACAATTAACCAACTAGACTACTGAGCCGGCATTTAATGGTGTCAATTTCTAACCTCAACCAATCCATTATTTATCCTATTTTATCATTTTATGTCACAAACCAACTTCATTTAGATGATTAGTGTAAAACAACCCTTATACTGATAATTAACATGTGCTCACAAGTGACTAGCTTCGTGAGGGAATTCTCGGAGTTCTAGGGAGAAGCCATGACCAGTGGAGCTAATCCGTGTCAGGTAGAGATAGGTATCTACCTCAGTGCAATGGAAGATGATCGCGTAATTTAGCGGATTGGTTGCTGTTAGACACCAACACCACTGTATGCCAGCTCAGTGTTCCAGTAGGTTATGCATTCGTGCGCGAAACTAAAGGCCCTGGGTTGGAATCTCTCGAGGCGGTATCGTGGTTGCGCACTGCTGAAGAGTCACATGATAAGACGAAACGGCCGTTTAGTGCTCCTAGGTTTCAATGATGGTCTAACATCAATCGGTTCATGATCTCAATCTAAAACAAAAAGCACTGAGCTTTCAGAACTCATTAGCCAGAAACATAACTTTCTGACTACTGAGTCAATATCCATTGGTTATTATTTATAATCTTGTCATTGATATTTATTTATAAGTTTAGTCAATTTGAGATATCCTGGATTCGAACTCCACTTCGATTGTGTATGGACACTTTTTTAGAGTCTCGAAATTCGATTTAAGGTCCAAATATTGATTACTTTAACAGAAAAAGTTCTTTCAGTAGATATTATACATATATTTGTCAGTATATTACTATGGTAAGCAAGCAGATTTAGAATAGGTGATTCATCGATTGGCTTAGATAATATGAAAACCAGGGTTGTTAATTATTTAATTAACATCGTTTTTACAACAAAATGAATCGTAATAAGGTGTTGAAAAGAAAATGAGATATCGTGTATGTTAAACTAAAATATGATAAAACTAGGATTATGATATATGAACTGAATCTAGGTAACATCATTTTAGAAAAATAATCTACGTTCAATATAATAGTTACCTATTTTTATAGTTTAAATCACGAATTGATATTAGCCAGATCAATGTTGAAAACTAGTAAGCATTACATAATTCCTTAATTATAGCATGGGACTAGTCAATAGTGATCACTTTTTCTTCCACCACCCAAGATCGAATTCAGGACCTTCGATCCAGTGTACTAACATGTAACTTTTAGATTCCTTAAATGCCCTGGTACGACCGAGAGTGAGGAGAGTTCTCTCACCCTCTGAAAGTGCTCTCATATGACCATGCGTATATAGCCTCTGCCAGGGAAGTCCTACTCACTAACTTCTCGCACCATGAGTGTTGTTTACGAAATTGAGAGGACAAAAAGCGGATGTCCGGCGTCTCAACCGGGTTGGTGGACACGGAGAGTCCACCTAGGGGAGTTGGAAAACCCTGATTCCATACCAATGACGGAACAAATGGTGTATGAACCAATCGTTCGTCACCGGCTACCATGGCACTGCATCTCCTCACTATGCTCCACTGCTTCGTGGATCAGACCTTTAGGTTGAAGGCTCAGGGTGTGGCCTCCTAAGTAAACCCCCTGCTTCGCTTTGGGCACCTGGGTAGTATCACAGCCCTCACACAAATCAAATGAGATTTGTGTGGCGCATATGTATTTGGTGCCTCCTTGTACCAATATCTATGTGTTCAAATAATATCCAGGATCTCACATGTTTAACTTCGTCCAAATCACAATATTGCACCATTACTTTTGATTGCCTACACTGGATAACTATCTCACACCCTATATAGTTGAAATCTATTGATCACCATTATATATTTATTAAGAAAACAAAGGGGGGGGGTGGAAGTTTGTTTATTTCATAAGATTGATAATTGAATTTTGTCACAAATACAAAAAAGTATATACAATAGCCATATCATTTATTCCAAAATCACTTTCCTCTAAATAAAAACAATAGTTCCCCTCCTCCCTGCAAAAAATAAGTTCCCTTATTTATTATGATTGTCCAACTATATTGATTATTTAATTTTAATCGTATTTTCGTTTTTTTGCATTTTACTTTTTAATTTTTAGCTTTATCCAGATGTGATACTACTTCGTTTACATATCCCACTTATTCCTATCAATGAAGAGAATATAGATCATCTTAAAAATTCTAAAAATTGTTTAAATACTACTACTACTACTAATACTACTACTAACAATACTACTACTACTACTACTACTACTAATAATAATAATAATAATAGTAATAACCCATTAACTACAACAAATTTACGTCAAATGCGTCTTGGTGTTAGTGTACGTGAATCTAACTCATCACGAGCAAGTAAATTACATGAATTATCACAGAATACAATTAAATTAAAAACAAATAATGATAAAATAAATCATATCAATTTATTAACTGATACATCATATATTGCTGATTCTATATATGGTGGTGTAATAGTGAAATGTGTTATAGAAGGTGGAGCTGCACATAAAGTAAGTATTCCATTTCCCCTTCGCCCCCCCTACATAGTTTTTTTTCTTTTTTACAAATGGATTCTACCATTATTTGCACGATATAAATATAAGGGAATAATGTCAAGGAATATATTACGTTGTAGTCTTATATTGATAATGATATGTCATGTGGATTGAACGATGATTGTTTGTTTTTGTCGTCGCGGATTGTTGTGTCGTAATCACTTATCACTTATGCTCAAAACGAGGGACCTTTTCAATTCTCAGGACGTGAAAGTAGGAACACAAAGACTGGTATAAGTGAGGATTTATTAACCCTCCAAACAAGACGACCAATGCTTCTTGAATCATCACCTGTATGCCTATCACTGGAACTCCACAGAGATCTGTGTGACGATGAACCATGGAGATTACAACCAATCTGAGTAGCAGATACCAGTGCTTTGATTATGTGTGACATTTGTTTGCTCGGTATTACAGGTAAAATTGTATGACAGAGATGTGAAAGACCTATATTATTTCGGGAAGACATTGATGTCGGGAATCGCAAATCAATTTGACATTCTTTAGAATATATAATTAAGGAAGTAGCTGCAACTATATGTTATGGGGAAAGTTTCCACTCATCGATAATTCAATAGATAAGATGATAGTCAACTACTAAGTGCTTAGTTCTGGGCTTAAAAAACTTCTTTATGTCTGCGTAAATGTACGCTTCTGAAAAGTAGACACAACGGAAATTGGAATTATTGTTAATTAGTGTAAAAGTTCTGATTAGGTCATTTTAGATCCTTCTATATGAAAAAACGTAATCTATTTAGTTTTACTCCTTATGTGCGTAAGGGATTTTATTCTTCATGACCAGAAAACATCAACACTTCTCCTGTAGTTAATCCTTTATATGCAACTTGAGTCCAATTATTCGAAGCACCTCCTGATTGTATTCTTTTTAATTTCTGCTTCTCTTAGGATAGTTTTCTAGGTCTCCGACATTGTCCGGATGTCCCATATTCTAATGTTCATTGTTGTTTTGATTGTCAGAAAAGGTATTTGACTGGTGACTTCGAAAGATTCTCGGCTTACATCGTGAGGCGTCATAAATTTTCTAAACATAAACCCTTATATCCCCAGGGAAGAGTTTAGATTGTTTTTTCTGGTTAACGTCATTCTAGTAAGGTTCTTTTCCTCGGGATAGATTAACTAACGCCGTTCTTAACTCTCCCTACTTCTGTCTAAGTTTGTGACCGGCAATGCTTCTAGAAGAGCTCCAGGTGGAGCTCAGTTAAATTCACGGAACGATTAACCTTTAAAATACTGAGCCGATACTGCTCGACCATCTACTGTTACATTCAAATACCTCACAACTTAACAGTCTAAACAGTGGTCACGACTTATCATTAGACAAGAGATGATAATTATTAATATAGATGTTAGAGATATGTACCTTTAGTTCCTTGCTCTGTGATTTAGGGGTTAGATGTTCATTTTAGACCGTAGTTGATGAGGTCGATCCCTTAAAAAGCTATTATTGATGCTCATCGATGAAAATTCTATGACCAAATAACTTTTCAGTCCCCCCAGGTATCCATTGGATGCCTAACTTATGTCGATTGGTAATATGATATTGCGAACCGATCAGAAATGGTCAAACAAGAAAGTCACTCCATGACAATAAAAAATGACCTAAAGAACAAATGCATATCACTGACTAAGAAATGAATTGACTTTCTGGGGGGTATATATATAAGTGTTTGTGCTTATTATTCGATAGCCCAATATACTTTCCTCTCAACTTTTGCGTTTTTTGTGAAGTAGTCAAGTGGGGGGGGGTTAGCTTGTAGCATATTGTGTATCAAATATCAGATCGCGGTTATTACTCATTATAACGGTTTCTGGAGACGTTTTTTCTCCAAACCCATCGCCATCCATAACATAATATCCTTTATACTAGCAATAATACTATTAGTAACTCTACCACTTTAGAAATTATCTTAATAATTTCATCTTGTGCTAATGCAACTTAATGACTTGAACCAATCCACACATGTTCCAGCTTCTGTATTACACATAACTAAGTAACTGACTGATTGCTTGATTGATTTTCTTCAAGTGATTATTAACATAAATGCTTATTCTGATGTTTCTATCATTCATTTTCAATTCTAAGCAACTAGTTATACACAATAAGCACTTCATTATTAGAATTGAAAATTTAGAAATTTAGAAATTAACACTGTTGGATACCAACTCAGTGACCTAGAGGTTAAGCGTTCGCGCTCGTGATCAAATATCCTGTGCTCAAATCCCATCTGCGAAATCGTAGATGGTCACTACTGAGGAGTTCATAGTAGGATGAAACGGTGTTCTATAGCTTCCAAGCTCTCAATAGCGACCTAGCTTAGATAGATTAGTGAATTCAATTGTGAAAATACTACAATTTTCATAATACTGATAAGTTTATTTTACTTTTGATTTTATTAATATTTATTTAATGGATTAATTTTTATTGTTATCAAATACTAATACAGGACGGTCGACTTCAAGTTGGTGATGAATTGTTGGAGATTAATGGAGTTGTTTTAGTTAATGCAAACAATCCATTAAGTTTATTACGTTCTGTTCTACGAAAATTATCTAATGCAAATGTAAATGACAATAAAAATTGTGATGATGATGATACTAATAATATGACTACAACTCCAACAAGTGTAACAGATAAAACAACCACAACAATAACAACATCAACAACTGCTTATAGTTCTATTGATACTACTGATACAACTACTATTACCACTAGTACTACAAGAAATATTAATTCCATAACACTTTCACCTACTAAGACAAATGATCAGAATACAACTTCTAAGTCTACTTTCGATAAAATAGATTCAATGGAAATGTTAGATATAGTTCAACCAAAAGTGGTAGATTTATTGATAGCTCGATTAACAAGGCATCGAAGATCTGCATCTGGGCATACCGTAAGTATTTCAATGTATATGTATATATTCTTTGTAATAATGTTGTTCTCTGAGGGATGGGATTGTTGACCCCATGCTCAACCCTTCTCCCAGTTTGAGGCCAGCCATAACCCTAGAAGAGAAACGGGTGAAGTTATATATATATATATATATATATATATATATATATATATATATATAAGATATTAGATGTTGAATACCTGGATAATCTAAGCTTTGTACTGAATGAAAATTATCAATTAGATTTATCCTACGCTCAGGGTAGAATTATATTATGATTTAGTCTTCCCATGTTTGGCTATGAATTTTTGAAGGTGATGAATATCACTGAAGAAACATTCATCTGTGATCATTTCTTTAGTATCTGAATGTAATCTTTTGACACGATTAAAAAGCGTTCTAATCAAGACTCTTTCCTATAGACTATTACGCTTCATAACAACGTCTTGAAACTTAATTCATGATAAGTGTTTGTAAACTTTATTCCGGTGTAATAATTTCTTTTCCAAGTAATAATGGCTTGTATAGATTGTTATAGTTTACATTGCTGACTGTTCCTTAGTTGGACAACTAAGAAGCACTGAAGATGATCACCCACCAGAGATATTGGAAGACGGTTATGCAACATCGTGAAATGAATGAACTTAGACGCGTTCTACCAGTTAGTGCGATTTCTGTGGATTAAGGGTATCCATTCTCTTCGAGCAATGAAGGTCTCGAATTTGACTCATGGATTATCACTAGGTAGAATAAGTTTTTCAGTGCCTAATGGCTTTCAAAGCTTATTCAAAAACAATCTTTGATGTAAACTATAAAATTTCCTTCCTGAATATCTTACTCCTATTCTTTGTTTACCTCAATAAACTATAGCTTGCATCGAACTCCGAGTTTAGTTCAGAAACTTCAACGTCAAGTACTGTGCTAACTGCTACACCAAAGTTTTTACCACCTGTCAATAATAAAACTAGTCCTGAATCATCATGTATTAGTCAAGAACAATCTATAGACCATCATCATGGTAGTCATCAACATCACCAACATCGTCATCACCATCATCATCATCGGCATCATCGTCATTTGTCTCAACCACAACAAAAATGTTACTGTCCAAATCCTTTGACAACTTTATCTTCATTGTCATCATCACCTTCATCAATTACAACAAATACTACTGAAAGTGAAACGCATGTCACTACAATCAATGTTAGTGACATACAAAATATGAATAATAATGATAAAAATAACGAAACACCGAAAATTAAAGCAGAAATACATTCAGTCAAAGTGGAACAGGAAGATAATGCTACCGATGATGATATTATCGTTACTACTAAAACGAATCTTGGAGGTGATTGTGCCACCTAAAATGATTAAACTATAGTTATACAGATTCCTGTAAAGTGAGTCATTTTACATAAATGATGATAACTTACATTTTCCTATCATAGAGACGATTTACAATGCTGTCGATACTTTTGATTATTCAGTGACTCCCTAGTTGTGACTGGGCTCACTTCACTAATTACCAACTGGTTAGCAGTTGAACGCATTCTTACAGCATCAGAAAGAGGGAACCTCACATGATCCATTCTAAATATACATGTCACAATCTTATGCATGATGAAACGAAGTAACTTTATATCATTTAATATGAACAATATGGATAAAAATCCTACCGTATTAGCAATAATAGTAACAATAACAGTAATAAATTTTGTATTATTTGTTTGAATTTTCTGATTGATGTATTGTAAGCAGAGTTGGATGAAGACTTGGAGTCGAACACAAGATGGAGTTTCGTCCCATTTGGGGCTCGTCAGATGGATGTACTTGCATCCCAGAATTGATGTTTACCTCGGGACTAGAACCCAGTATCGTTTACTTCGAGTGAACATCAACTCTGAGAGGCAGGTACATCAAAGTGTCGAGTAGCAAATAGGACAAAACCCACGTCCCGGATTCCACTACTAGAAAAAGGTGCGAACTTCCTTAGTGTATTAATTTGAAGTTTTAAGTATTTAGGATCATGAAATATTGTAAAATTTTGATGAAAGCGTTTGATTATATTATGGAGTCTACCTTATATCCGTGGGAAAAATGATCTTTGAAGGTAGGAGATATGCGTAGTCTAAAGAATTCGATCGTAGTTATTTTCGAAGTATTGCTCACACTTCTCAGAACGATGGAGTTAGTAATGCTGAGGTTAGGTATAAGGTACTACGCAAAGATGGAAATCAGTTGATGGGATTTTGAATCATTTTTGACTGACGCAGTTAAAGAATATGTTATGCATGCCTAACCAGTACTCAGCGTAACTCCCAATGTTAGCAAGTGTAGAAGTAGGTTAGAAGAAATTTGTGGTAGCCATACCAAAGAGTGGCATCATCCTATAAAGTTAGTAACTATTGACCTGGATCATGATGGTTAATGTGGGCTACCTAGTAGGAGTCCGTGCAATAACCACAATCAGTCATTGAAAACATTGGTTGATAAGAATCAAAATTGGCTACAGTAGCACATATACACTCCATCTTCACCTTAATCTCGAACTTTATTTTCAGTATTCCCTTATACTTATGTTTTATTTATGTCGTTATAGACCATATCCTAAATCTTTTGTCTATTTCATTATTATCTCAACCGCATTATGTCAACTTCTTTCGCTATTCATTGTGATTAAATTCATGTTGTGTAGATGTGGTATATCAACTCATCTAACGCACATTTTTGCCAGGATTTGTATTGGTCAGGACTGGTTGATTGATTGATTTATTTGTCACATCAAAAAACGCCATGACTAACACCAAGTTACTTACTTTACTAATGCATAAACATTATTTGTATAGTATAAAAACAATAAGTTATTCGTTACAATTAACTTTAATAATTGTAATAAAATTAAGCGTTAGCGTCCATGAATCCCATGAGCGGGATCGTGGGCGCGCATTGCTGAAAAGTCCCACAATAGGACGAAACGGCCATCCAGTGCTTCCACGTTTTCCATGGTTATCTAGTTTCAATCGATTCATGATCTCAACTATTAAAACTGTTTTTCTCAAATAATCTATTACTTATTTCTGATTTCTTTCTTTCAGATAATTAAAAAAGATAATCAATGAATATTAGTTTTCTAAACATACTACTACTTCTATACATTAGAGAATTCATCAATAATGTGAATTATTATTGAAAACTACCTCAATCTCATTAACAAATTGATAGAAATGATTATTACATCATTATTACTATTATTATCACTACTACTGTTATTCAGTAGTTTGTTTGTTTTTTCTAGCTGAACTACAAAAACCGCTCAAATTTACATTTGTAAACAACGACAATATGAACAATAATAATACTAATAACAATGTAATACTACATTCCCTCTCTTACCTCGTAACAAAACAAACTCTTTCCTATTAGCTAGTAGGAGAAAGAGAGAGAGAGAGAGAAAGAGTGGGGGAGAGATCAAGTGGATGTGTGTGTGATTGACTGAGTGAGAGAGGGAGAGAGAACGATTAGTTTATTCCATTGTATAGAAGCCAAAACTATATTTTCTATCCTCAAAAACTATTTTCTTTCTTTCTTCTTTTTTTTGTGAATAATTTATTTTTCAAGATAAAGAAGAAAAAGAAAAAGAAAAAGAAAAAGAAAAGAACCCGAAATTGTTTTGATTAATTGTTTTCTATTTATTTCTATATTAATTAGTTATTGTTTATCAAAATTTCATCTCTTGTTTGTTTTTTTTTTAAAAAGAATTATATTTCATTCTCATTTTCTAAACATACCATTAAATAGATACTACTTATATTACTCATTTTTTTATTATGAAGATTTCAATTGAATTTTAATTATGACACATATACATACATAAAATTGAAATAGTTCATAATGATTTGTACTGGTGGTTGTGATGGTTGTGATGGTGGTGGTGGTGGTGGTGATGGTGGTGACGGTGTAGTAGGGTAATAGAGTACTATTTAAGGCTTCGTTCGTTTTTTTTTTATTTCTTACTTTCAATTATTCTTCTCGAATTAATATTATTGTATAAAATGAATTGATTTTTTTTCATGATTTTCTTCTGCTCTTTATAAATCATTTCTATTTTATGATTTATTCACATGAGAAAAATATATTGGTTAGATCACGATGATGATGATGATGACGATCATGATGATGATATGAAAACTTAACAGAAAAAAGAAGAAAAGAAATACAACATCGATTAACGCTTGTTTCTGTTGTTGTTGTTGTTGTTCATATGATTATGTCACTATGACAACAATGATCATGATCCATACTATGAAATAGTATTATTCAACTGTTTTTTTTCCAAAGAAATATGATAATATTCAACAAGAACAACAACAACAACAAAATTAATAAATCAATAGAAAAGATTATTATTTTTTTTTGCACAATATTCCTGACAGAATTTATTGAATCATGTAGATAATCATGTAAATAATTGAATGATCATTAAATATTTTATTCTAGTCAATCAGTTATATCATATTCATAGTTTAATAGATATAGATATATATACAAAATAGCCAACATTTTAAGTGATTACATCAATGAAATAACATATTGTTACATAATATTGTTTTATTACATAATAGTATAATCTATATATACATATATGTGTATATTGATTTCATTTCTTTCTTTCTTTTTTTTTGTTTTTTCTTTACTGAATATCATTTATTGAATGATCATTCAAGTGAGATCCATCAACTTTTATTGTTTAATAACAACAAATGTTCTTTTTTGTTTCACTTTTTTTTTCTTTTTTATATACACAAATATGACTTTCATCCCCCCTATAATTTCATGTATATTCCTTATTTAATAAGAATAATAATATTAATAAACAACGATTGGTATTATGATTAGATATAAATTTAAGTAACTATTTTATATCCTTATTAAATTTCTTCACAAATATGAAATCATTTTTGATCCCACATATTCAATCCAGTAACCAACTAACCAACCAACCAACCAACCACCCACCCACCCACCAACCCACTCATTTACTCATTCACTTACCCACTCAATCAATTAATCAATCGATCAATCACTAACTGTCTATTTCTTTTAATGTATGTTGCCTTATTGTTTCAAATCATAATTATATGAAAAAATTATTATTATTTTCTTTGAAAAAAAAATTCAATAATAATTGATTTTCCCGTTTGTTTTTCTTCTTCATTAACTCTTTATACTATTGACTTATGTAAGAAAAACTAAAAGAAAAAGAAAACAATTCCTTTTGATGAAAAAGAAGGAAAAAACGGAAAGATGAGAATTTCACATTTTTTTTCATTTTCTTTTTCTTGTTGCTGTTGTTATTGTATTTTTTTCTTTTCCTTCTTTTTCTTCTTGACATAAACAAATTTGTAAACATTTAAATATAAAAAAAAGTTTCTTTTGGATCTCCCTCCCTCCCTGTCACTCTCTTCCTTGCTTATTAACTTTTATTTTTTATTCTTTCAATCCATAATTCTATTCGATTAATCTTTTCTTTTGTTTTATTTTCTTTTCTCTTTCAAATGTGTACACATTGTTCACTTATGTCTATATCAATGTTCATTGAATAATAAATCAATAAATCAATACCTAGATTATTAAAAAAAATTCAGATTATATAATTAAATATATTATTGATTAATAATTGAGTTCCTTTTTTTAGTAAAGTTTTTTGATTGAGATTATGAACTGATTGATGTTAGATTACCATTGAATAACTGGAAGTATTGGATAGTTGTTTTGTCTAATTGTGAGAATCCTGAGCAGTGCGCATCCATGATCCCATCTCATAAGATTTGAATTCAGGACCTATCGGTTTCGTGCAAGAACAATTATCTTCTAGACTATTGATCTGGCCTCCATCTAACGGTGTTATTGTCTAACTACAACTAATCCACGAAATTGGGCGACAAATCTACCATTGTCATCAGTGAGTTGCTATCTCACAACAGACCATGTTGAACTCAATTGGTCATGAATTCTCACTGGAACTCCAGGATATACCTCTTGAATCCAGTTACTAGAGAGCATATGTTGAATAATCTCAAAAGGGATTTTGTGAATATTATAGTGTGCTGTGTGCTACTTATGTAAACATAAGTAGTATATGGTTTTAGTCGTGAACAGAATGTCTTGGATTCCACTGCTGACCAATATCCACCTTTGCCTATAATGCTTGTGACTTAAGGCAATGTCAAGACAATCCGTACGGGATGCACATATACCAATAAAATACTGATCAATTGCAGTCCTAAATAACAACAAGTGAATTTACTAACCATGACTCATCGAAATGGTGTTTTAATGAAAAGATTATTACATCTATATTTTATACTACTGAATACTATTAGTTAGTAGGTAATTAAACTAAACGAAAATACAAAAATAACTACATACTAAGATCTTACTTCCAAACTGATAGAAAGCACAAGAATAATGCGAAAATCTGATTAGTGACCAAACATTCCTGTCGAGATGGATATTATCTTCAGCAAGTTAATTACCAATATATTAATGAGATATAAGTGGAACTAACTAGATTTTCCCAGAACAAAAAACAACAGATGACTAAGTCTGATCAGAATTTCCTATTTCGGATTATATTCTACTAAACACATTTCTCTTTTTTATTTCATGTTATAGATGATTAAAACTTAAAGAAATATAGAGAGTACGTTGTAGCCTAATTAAATAATTATTCTTTACAATGATAAGTGGCTAGTTGAGGGCTGAATAACTTAGTAGTAACGTCTTTGACTGTGAAACTATGTGACATGGAACAGAATCTTCAGGGTGTACTAGTTTCCTTTGGATTACACCTAAACTCTACTGAGGAGCGCTAAACAGTACAAAATTTAAATTCACTTGGCATTGATTATTTGAATCTTCTCATTGATGTTTAGGATTGTAATTAATCAGTTTCTTATTGGCATATATGCATGGTGTACGGATTGTCTCGATATTGTCTTATTTTACCAGCATTATAAGCAAAGATGAATGATGGCTAGAAGTGGAATCCAAGACGCAAACGGTACTAATTTTGAGTCTCAGAGTGAACATCAACAAGTTTGGGATGTAAGTACATCCCAAATAGGACAAAACGCGCCTCCTGTATTCCATCGCTAGCCACTATCCATCTTTGAATGTAGTACGGAATTTGGGTATTGGGTTTCTTGTCAACTACATACATATATATAACGGAAACTGTAAGGCCTTTAAAATAAACGCACTTTGTTTCTGAGTACGTTTCTATAATTGTCCGTAATAAACATCTTTCTTGTTATCTTCCTTACCAATGAAGCGTAGATGATTAAAATACTTGACAGCCTACGATATTTATGTTTGTTCAATATGCATATTTATATAAGAATAATACACCCAAACGAATAATATTTTTGTTCAGTTTTTACTCTAATATATATGGATATATGAAAATATTACGCTAATCAAGATTGTTTATGAGCCTTTGATCACAACTAAATAATTTGACTAACCTTTACTAACTATGTTTAGTAATCATTTGAGGGTTGTGGAGATTGGTAAGTTTAAGATGGTGGTTGGAGGTAATCAATAGGAAACCCTGGTCCTAGGTTTCGTGGCGCTTGCCATTCGTCAGCAAGGTTTACCTGTAATCTTGATGGAACTGGTGTTCCCTGACGGATTTGATCTCGTGTCAACATAGTGCACGTAATGTTGAGTCATCTAGATTAGTGGTCACATTGCAACTTGATCGATAGTATTCAATCCGAACTAAGAAGGACTTGACACATATGACATTGATTACCACCCAGTGATCAATCAATTTTATGATTTTTAAGTTTCCTTGAAATCATGAACCGATCAATGTTGAACAACTATTGAAAACTTGAAAGCACTGTATGCCCATTTTGTCATAGTACAGGATTCCTTAGCAGTGAGCATCTGCTACTCCGCACGCGATAATTGAACCCAATATCTTTGGTAGTACGCGTAAACGCTTAGCCTCTAAACAACTGAGCAGGTGTCCAACGCTGTTAATGTCTAATTTCAATCATTCCATTTTGCTCGATCAACCCATACTAGAACGAAGCGGTCGTCTAGTGCTTTTTATGTCTATTTTATTCGAGCTAATGTTTGCTAGAATTTCGGAATTCTTAATAATACTATGTAGATATTTAAAGTGAAGATATTGATGAGTTGAAGTTATTGAAGTTCAAATGACGTGGCGTTAAGAGAATTTCACTAATTAAAGCTAGAACAATCAATGTAGTCACCTTTATAACCGCTAAAAATTTTGACAGAAGCATACGGATATGTCTCAGTGCCTTCTGCTTTTTGTAAATATGAGTCCCTTGGTTTTAAACTTAGTCGAATTGATGGTATATGATCTCTGCAAGAATTCGGACAAGTATTGAGAAGCTTACAGATGGCTAATTTCATATTATATTGCACGCATTATATTTAATAGTTGAATTAATGAGTCAATTAAAGCTAGATCACAATGAAAAACCTGGAAGCACTAGATGGCCGTCTCGTCATCGTATGAAAATCTTCAGCACTGAGCATCCACTATCTCGTACGCGAAATCCAAACCGAGGACCTATCAGTCTCGAGCGCGAACGCATACACTGTAGACAAATGAGCCAGCATTTAACGGTGTTAATGTATAACTTCAACCAATCTACAAAATTGAGTCACCGTCCACTATTGTCTTCAGTGAGTTACTATCTCACAACAGACTTGGTTAAACTTCATTGCTTCCAGGTTTCTCATGGTGATTCAGCTTTATAATCGATTCATGAATTCAATTATGAAACTACCAAAATCTCCACAAAATCCACTTCTGATTATATATAAATATTATCACAAATTATTAAATCCTTTTATTATCTAAAACATCCATTTCATTACTATGGGGATAAATGAATAAGCTTTCCCAGTGTAATATATTTCTTATAGATATTCAATAAACTATACATTGTTTTAATAAAAGGGATTAATACTAGGAACAATTCAGAGTATTATACAACTAATAAAATGTTTACTAACAATCATCGAATAAAGGATCAACTATTTAAGTAGTATCGTATTACAATTTTATCATTCAGTATTGTCAACTTACTATATTTATCTGATTAGTATGTTTATTATTTGATAATATTTACTTCATTTTATTTTAATCAGA